GCCTTTGTAGAATACCTTTTACAGCAGACCGTTTATAAACACTGTGGGATTCTTTCAATAACATCACTCCCACGAGTCGGTTTGTTCCAAGAGGACAGGGCTCATGTCCCACCCTCTCCCCTACACCTTCTTTGAGAATTGTAATCCTAGTTCTTAATGTAGTACTCAATAAATGCTTGTTGCGTCAGTGAACTTCCAAAAAGACTTCCAAATTTTGAACGTGGTTAGACATTTTCATTGTAACTAATATGCACGTCACCTTGGGAATGCAGTGTTTTAAAGATAACTTTTTCTGAAGCCGTCACCTTGTTTATGTCCTCTTACACAGTTTCCTAAAATTTCAAATGGTGACTTATTCTTTTCTCATAGAAGTGTTGCTCACTCACTTTCTATACAGTATTAAGAATTAATCTCCTCAATCAATATATTCATTCTTTTTAAAATCATGTCAAAATGTCAATTAAAATGGTGTTTGGAACATTGGAGCAGTCAATGTTGTGACTTTTACTCAATTTTAAATCTATTCATTGGCTTCATAGCCTGTTTAAGAGTTCACAGCACAGACTATTTGATGTGGCTCTGTGGGTTAATGTGCTGGACTGCAAGGTATGTTTGAACAACAAGGTCGATGGTTCAGGCTTACCATCCACTCCTTGGAAATACTGTACAGGGTTGCTATAAGTTGGAACTGATTTGATGGCAGTTAACAACCACAATGACATAGAAAGTCCATGGATGGCACACATGATGTGTGGTCAACTGAAAAGTCAGTTTGCACCACAAGGTCGGTGGTTCAGACTCACGAGTTGCTTCCCCAAAACCCCGTACTGGATCACTGAGAGTCGGAACCAACTTGATGGCACTTAAGAAAAACAACACTAACCTAAAATGTCTCCATGGAAAAGAGGCCTGATAAGCTGCTTCTGTAAAGAATAAGCCAAGAAAATCCTAGGGAACAATGTTACCCTGTTAACACGTGGGATTTCCATGAGTTAGAATGAACTATAACAGATCCTTATGGTTATATGACAGAAATCACAGGTTCATATATTTATTATGGTATTTTTGGATGACGATGGTGATGGTAATAACATTACTATAAGATTTTTTGCTGAAGATTTTCCTTTTTGTCATGAAGTTACCAACTACTTCTTCTTTCTAGGTCTATTTTGTAATGAGTAAATTCTGTCCAGATTAAATTTAGTATATAAACTCGATAGTTATAACCTCTTCAAGGGAAGAAATACCAGTTAAAAACAACTTTATACTTTTCACATCTTTCTATTGGGCATGTTTCACTCATCATTCCCCAGACTTTAATGCACTTTTTGTGAAATTTTGACGTATCAAGTATCATACTAATGCATGTCATCATCTGTGTCTTTTATGATGAATTGTCATTGCATTTTACTTCAAAATTTAAAAAATATATTGGTTTTCTTACACACACATATATGTGAAGGGACTTGAAAAGTTTCTGGAAAAATTTCGGTATCTTTTAGTTCCGTTTTCCATGAACTTTTTAAGCCTCCTCATGTGTGTGTATATATGAGTGTTTGTGTTATTGTGAGTTGGTTTTGACTCACAGCAACCCCATGTGACAGAGAAGAAATGTGCATCATGTTCCCAAGGCCGTGGTATTTACAGAATCAGATCACTTGATCTTGTCTCCTGAGGAGCAGCTAACATGAACTGCCAAACTTTAGGTTAGCATCCAAGCACTTAACTGTCGTACCACCAGGTTTCCTTGTGTGTGCACATCTACAAGGGTGCTTCAAAGTTAATTTTAAAAATTCTGTTATATTTCAGTTCTGTTATATTATAGCGTTTCTTTTTATGTGATATATAAGGAGGCTTCAAAAAGTTCATGGTAAAATGGACTTGAAGTTTTCCAGAAACCTTTTGAAGCTTCCTCCTGTGTGTGTGTGTGTGTGTGTGTGTGTATTCACATACATACATATTTATTTATTCACCCGTATTATCTTTGCTTGACTACAGTTCACTCATGTATATGATCAGAAAACTATTATGGCACGTGATGGTTGTCAGTTACACGTTAAATGTACTCTATAATGATTTTGAGAACAATAATTATTCAAATAAAAGCCTCATGGGAAACTGAAGTGTGTTAATATGAAGACATGATGCATCCCTGATTCACCAGATGTAAGGGAAGGAGGGCAGATATCTCTGAAAACCTTTGATCTGGGTTGAGACGGGGAGGTATGTGGCATAAACCACTAGAAATTCTTGTGAAGTATGATTGACGGTGCTGAAATGAGAATGTTTCCTCTGTATACTGCAGATACCCAGTAATTCTCGCCAGCTAGACCTGATGCTATTGAAAATAGCGTCCAAAAATCTCCATTTCTTATTGGTGGTGTAGCAGATGCTGTGTGTGTCCTGCTTGCATCTCGTGCCCTTATCACTTCACTAGCTTCACTTCCGGTTGCTGATATATGCAATTCTTTACATGAGGACAATTATTTGGCCTCTGGAACTATATTCCCCTCTCCTTTGGAGACTAGACTTGCTGGTTAATTGAAATTCCCTGGGAGAAGCCTCCAAATAATGATTAACGAGAGTTGGTGTGTAAATAGCCAGAGTCCCTCACTCATGGGTGGGATAATTCTAAGGCATGCCGGTACACAGTCTAAACTTGCAGATATACCGAGCAGGACTCATCTCCAGTCAGTCATCCATGATGATGGTTGTCTTTATGTGTCATCCTTTATGTGCTGCCTCCTTTCCTTGTCTTTCCTTCCCCAGGTGCTGCACCCACAACTAAACTCCTCACACTGGAAGACTTTTTGCATTGTTTGTCTTAGGAGAAACACAAATTACAACTCATACAGTGTGTATTTATGGGGTTAGTGAGGGAGGTCAAAGATCCCAGCAAGGGTGTCGATTGCTAACTGCAGTTGTTTGAACAGTGGTTTGCAGTATTTCTGCTTGTGCTAGATGACTTCACATTCTCATGGGAGTAGTTAGATCTCTGCATAATTCCTGCTATACTACCTCTCATTTCCCATCCGAGAGTGTATGCTGGATGGCCAGTGAACAAAAACAACAGCGCTATAGGAATGGCCAACTGAATGTGCTATTTTAGGTTCATAACTTGCAAGTCATCTTGCTTGCACTCTTGATCTTAGTCTTATTTGGGGAAGATTTAATATGCTGTGAACAAGCATTGGATTTCTAACCACAAGGCTGGCAGTTCAAACCCACTAACCGCTCCTTGTAAACCCTATATGTCATCACTGTGAGTCAGAACCTTCTTGACAACACTTACCAATAATAACATACATCAGAACTCAGGAACCCATGGTTGAGAATCACTGTCTTAAGAAAGCTGAGATTTCTCCTTTTATGTTGAGCAATCCCTGAAGGAGCCCAATCAGTTGTTGTTGTTGTTAAGTGCCGTCAAGTTGGATCCAACCCATAGCGACCTTATACAGGGTTTCCAAGAAGTGACTGGTGAGCTTGAACCACCAACCTTGCAGTTCAAACAGCTTTGCAGTCTGGCGCATTAACCCACAGCGTCACACCAGTTGTTGTTAAGTACTGTGACGCCGGCTCCGACTCATAGCGACCCTGCACAGGGTTTCCGAAGCTGTAAATCTTTACAGGAGCAGAACGCCTCATCTTTCTCCCATGGAACCGCTGGTAGTTTCGAACTGCTGACCTTGAGGTTGGCAGCCTAACTCGTAACCAGTGAGTTGTTGTTGTTGTTGTTATGTGCCATCGAGTCGGTTCCGACCCATAGCGACCCTGTATAGGGTTTCCAAGGGTGTAAATCTTTACGGGAGTAGAAAGCCTCATCTTTCTCCCGCGGAGCAGCTAGCAGCTGCTAAATCAGATAATACACTTACCTTGCTAAAAGTTGTTTTTGTTAGTGCTGTTGAGCCGGTTTCCACTCATAGAGACCCTGTATAGGATTTTTGAGGACTGCCTGGTAGGTTTGAACCACAATTTTGCAGTTCACCTTGACCTTGTGGTCTAATGTTATCCTATAGCACTATACCAGGAATCATACTACTAAAGTGGCAGATTTTAAAATAGTTAATTCCGATTGGTAGAATCAACTGAGTTTTTACAGTTGCAAGAACATAATCTATTGTCTGGTGTGTGTATCTAGCCTACTTGATCATTAACCATGCAGATTACTGAAATTGACACAGGACTTGCAGGTAATTATTTCTTCTCAACCAATGTATTAAAATTTATGAAAACGTAGGAAATCAGTAGGAAAATGGTTTCATTTGCAAGGTGCTTAGACTGAACAATTTTCAAGATTAACATTTTTTATCTGTTTTATGCAGCATATGTAATTGAAGGCATTCTGTAAATGTTTCTGAAAAACTAAAGATGGATATTAATAATGCTTTTATAATTTGTAAGCCTTATTTGAGATTTAAAGACTGCAAAAACTGGAGCTTTCAGATACCTGTTTGTATGTTTCTTGATTTTATTAAAATGTTATCATTAGAGAAAATGAGACAAAGTTAGAATTTTAGAGTAATGTTCCATTTGTTGTATTTATGACATAATAAAAGTTTTAATATTTAATATATAGTAGAGGATAAGCTCTAGACTGTTAACCACAAGGTCAGCAAATCAAAGCCACCAGCTCCTCCTTGGAAACTCTGTACAGGGTCGCTATGAATCAGAACTGACTCAGTAGTACTTAACAACAAATATTAAGATAGGTGAAAATGGCTGGCTTAGTAAAAACATTTCCACTTGCAGGACAGTTAACATAAAGTATTGTTAAGTATATATATTTCAAACTTATCCTCTATTTTGTTTCCGAAAAGAATTGTTTCTTTTGAAGATTCTGTTTGTGAATGTTAAGGTTGTATGAAAGGAAGAAAAATCTATTTTTAAAACAGCTACTTTTTATTTTCTCAAGTCTAACATTTTTTGTATGAATGTTTTGCAGATTAAAGGATTTACCTGAGGACAAAGCACACTATTCATCAGAGACTGGACAAGAGTTACTCTTGCTTTTGGCCATTAAAGATGATGTCATGGACACAGTTACTCCTGCTTCCATTCATTGGCTGCCTAGGAGGTAACAATAAACTATTTTCTAAGTTGAGGTTAGAAGTATTCTTGAGTCATATGCTTAAATTATTTGAATAAAGCTCTACCGGGGACAAAGAAAACAAATCTATTTTTACCTCTGAGAAAATTTTAATTCTCTCCTCTAACAATTGGATTCTCATATTCCTTCTAAGTTATTATAAGCTGTTCTATTTCCATAGAAAATACTATGACATCAATATTAGAGACCTACTAAAGTGTTTTTCTTAGTATTATGAATATAATATGTGAGCAAAATAAGAAAATGTGAATTAATGGCTTAAAAAGGTGCTGAAACTTTTAAGTTTTAGTGTACAAGTAAAAACGTAACTTTTGAAGAGTATCAGTATCTTAAAGTATTAAATCTTTAAAAATCATCCTGTATTTCTTTTAACAATGAACTTATTTCTTAAGTACCAAGACAATTTTCTTTTAAAGTTAGGAAAATTCACAATCTATATAACAAAGTGGGAGGAAAAGTTAGTATTTCTGAAATATTCATCATAAAGAAACTATTAGGTTTTAAATTTTATTGTTTTTATTCTTTTTTAAAACATCTTATTGTGATTTAGGTGAAAGTTTACATAGTTAAATTAGTTTTTCGATAAATAATTCACACACAAATAGATTATAAACCAAAGCTACAATTTTAAAATTTAAGTATTTGACAGTTTTTCCCCAGTTATGTCTTAATTTTCTCTCTATTACTTTTTCTTTCTTATTAGTCTAACACTAAAGCGGGGGGGGCGGGGGGGGAATTCGTTCTGTTGTACATAGGTTCTCTATGAGTCAGTACTGACTCGATGGCGCCTAACAACAACAGCAAAGGGACAAAAGAGCAATTATGCACACACTTTTACATTTTCAAATGGTCCTTATGAGCAGGTCAATGCAGATACAAAAACTAAAATTTTATTTTTTTCATAGAGTCTTTTCTTTATTCAAAATGTTTCAAATTTGACTGTGTGAACAAAAGGAGAAAAGTGATGCAGAATTTATTGTAATAATCTTACTGTTCAAATTATCACCTTTGGTAGAAGTAGTCTTGCAACTTCCCACATAATTGAAAAGAGGAATATGTACTCAGAAAGTGAAAGCGTAGCTAAAGAAAATGAGATTCATGTCCCAAAGGGTCAGATTTTAAGTTTGTAATTTCATAGCATATGCAGATTGTGTTTCAGCCTTTTTTCAGATAGATTTTATACATTTATGAAAAAAAAAAACTATAGAAAATGCAATGTATATTTTCTTGAACTATTAAGACATTGTTTAAGAATTTAAAAATTAAAGTGATTCTGTAGCTATGGTAGTATTACTTAAGGAATTCATACATAAAATTATATATTAAAAAGTTTGACTGTTACTAGTTTTCTGAAGTGTCTTGATTACATACTATGTTTTTTGTTTTTTTTTTTAAAAAAACAAAACTTTTTTATTGGTAGTTGAGTAAAGGTTACAGGCAACATCATCAGTTTTGCATTCCACAAATTATATACTTAGTTTCATCTCAGTGATTGCAGTCCCCTCCCTGCAACAACCATTATCTTGCTACCTCCTTGTGATTCTCATTTTCGTTCCACCCACGTTCTCATCCCTTTCTCAACCTTTTTCTTAGGGAAATGTTGCCCTTTTGATTTGCAGTGATTGACCATTCCATGGTGAGCGTACCTTAGTAATGTGGCTGTGTTGTCTACCCTGTGTATTTGTCTATGTTGTTGTTGTTGTTAGATACCATCAAGTTGGTACCGACTCATAGCAACCCTATGCACAGCAGAA